GGGCCCCTGCCGGAAGCCGCGCGCCCGCACCGGAAAAGACGGGGTCGTCCCGGGTTCGACGCTTCTTCGATTGGCACCCGGGTCCGGAGGCGGGACGAGCCCCTGCCGTCGCTCGGGTAACGGTTCTGGGGCTGTGGGCGGGGCGAAGAGGTGGGCGCGGCCTCTGTGCCTGTGACCGACTGGTGGCGGGCTGCCGGGGCGTGGCCCGCAGTGTGAGGGGGCGTGGCCAGTGGAAAGCGCAAGGCCCTAGCAACCGCGCCCTGGGAACCGTTTGCCTAGCAACGGAGGAACTCGCAAGAGAAGGAAGGCCTCATCCATACGCCAGCCTTCCAATGACGTCACAGCTGACCCTAGGTGACCCTGGAATCTTCTTAGACTCCCAACACACACCCTCCTGGCCTCCAGTGTTTCCCAGTGGCATCTTTAAGTCCTCACTACCACAGCAGCTCCAACCATGCTTCTCCAACCTTGACGAACCCCAGTGTCACCACAATACTCCAAGGACTTCGTCTGACCTACTAGTGATTAATGCCAACCTCAAACATCCACCTTATTTTCCACCAGCCTCTGATATATGTCTCCACGCCTTTACTGTCTTCAACAACCTCACTCATCTTCCAAAACCTACCTCGGATTCCAAAACTCCATCGATCCCTGCAATTTCCCCAGTAGAAATGATCCACTAGTAACTCAAAGTCTCCCCCTGACCCAACAACCCCCACTGATAGCCAGAGCCAGAGTCACTTCCGCTGAAGCCACCCCACCCCCATCACAGATCTTCCTAGATCACTTATTCAATGGATTCCTAGACTTCTCCCTGGAATGTCCCAGAGGCATCTCACACTCAACAAACCCTACAGTGAACTTGACATCTCACTCCAAATCCTTCTCCTCTCCTGCGTCCCCACCTTAGTGCTAGCCCTGCCATCCATTCAGTCTACCAGGCCATGGACCTGGGTGTCTTCCTAGGTTTGTATCATTTCTCTTCACCTCCTGCCCCACTCCCGGTCCCCGAGTCTTTTGCATTCACTGCCTCTTTCCCTGTCCCTTTCTCTCTACAGCCTTGGCCCAATCTCTTCTACCTGAGCACCCCCTGCATCCGTCTTGCTTCGGGTCTCTTTCCTGAGCTCAAAACTCACCTGTGGCTCCCTAGTGTTCTCAGGGCAATCTGGGCGGAATTAATTCCTGAGTGATCTAGCTCTTTTTTTTTTTTTTAGTAGGAGTCTCACTCTGTTGCCCAGGCTGGAGTGCACGTTCATGGCCACCGTAGCCACAACTTGCTGGGTTGGAACCACAGGCACATGCTACCACACTCAAAGTTTTATGTTTTTGTTTGTTTGTTTGTTTTGTTCTTTTTGACATATTGTAGAGAGATGAGGTCTTGCCAAGTTGCCCAGGCTGGTCTCGAACTCCTGGGCTCAGGCAATCCTCTCGCCTCTGCCTCCCAAAATACTGGGATGACAGGTGTGAGTCACTGCACCAGGCACAGCCCCTCTTTTTTCTTTCTTTCTTCCTTTCTTTTTTTTTTTTTTTTTGAGAAAGCAGAATTTATCGAGGATAGAAAAGCTCCCACAGTGGGAGGGGACCCAAGGGGGTTGCCCTGTAGCCCCTCTTTTTAATCTCATCTCTCTCATCACTAACAACTCACACTGTATGCCACCTAAAAGAGGTTTGAGAAAAAACTTACACATCACACTCTCTCTTGCCCTTGGGTCTTTGCACACGCTGTTCCCTGTGCTTGGAATGGCCTTCCCCATTCTGTTCTTGACCATTTAAGAGTTGGCTCAGAAGCTCTGGCAGCCCTCTGGAATCCCCCATCTGGGTTGTTATTGTGTGGAGATGAGTCTCTCTCCCCTATAGTGTTGTGAGCCACAGGAAGGCAGGGCTGGGGCTGCTTGTTCACCTGTGTGTCTACAGCATAGGGCTGGGCTGACAGGAGGCACTGCAATCATTATTCAATGGCTAGATGGGCCGGGCGTGGTGGCTCATACCTGTAATTCCAGCACTTTGGGAGACCTAGGCAAGAGGATTACCTGAGCCCAGGAGTTCAAGACCAGCCTGTACAACATAGCAAGACCCCGTCTCTATGATAAATAAAAAAAATTAGCCAGGAATGGTGGCACGTGCTTATAATCCCAGCTGTCTGGAAGGCTGAGTTGGAAGGATCACCTGAGCCCAGGAGGTCGAGGCTGCGGTGAGTCATGGTCATGCCACGGCACGCCTAGGCAACAAAGTGAGACTCTGACTCAAAAAAAAAAAAGGTTCAATGGCTGGATGAATGAATTAATAAAACAGATAGGACCAGGTATGGTGGCTTCCGCCTGTAATCCCAGCACTTTGGGAAGCGGAGGCAAGAGGACTACCAGAGTTCAGGGATTTGAGACCAGCCAGGGAAACTTGGTGAAACCTCGTCTCTACAATAAATCAAAAAGTTAGCTGGGTGTGGTGGCTCACGCCTGTGGTTTCAGCTACTTGGAAGACTGAGGTGGAAGGATCACCGGAGTCCAACAGGTCGAGGCTGCGGTGAGCCATAATTGTGCCACTGCACTCCAGCCTGGGCAAAAGAGTGAGACTTCGACTCAACAACAGAAAAAAACCAAGTGGGAAAGACTCTGCCAGGCAGTGTCTATGCCCCCACAGGGCTCACTATCCCTGGCTTGAAGTCCATGTCAACAAATGTGGTGAACAAATGAATGACCGACTCAGCCTGTATGCCACAGGGAAATTTTATTTGGAGTAACTGCCTTCCTCTTCTACCCCTGCTGCCCAGGGGCAGGAAGCAAACCGACAGTGAAAAATACAACCCACACTAACTACGTATAAGGGGGAAACTATCTACCTGCTTGGGGAAAGTGGCCATAGGGTGGGCCTCAGTCATCTGGCTCCTCGTCCTCCTCTTCCTCCTCGTCCTCCTCTTCCTCCTCTGCAGTGGCCAGGGCCTGCTCCTGGGCAGCCTTGAGAGCCTGCTCCTCCTCCACCGAGGGGTCGCTCATCTCCATGATCTCAGGGCCACTGGGGTACTCCTGCTGAATGGGGGCTGGCAGGGCCGGGTTGAAGTTCTCGGGGCTGTACTTGAGGCCCCAGCCGATGTAGAGGTTCTCAAACTTTCTGGAGGGGCAAGGAGATACTGAGACATTCTCCCTCAAAGGCCCCGGTCTGGCCTTTTTTTTGGTTTTTATTTTTTTATTATAAAGATGTGGGGTACAATTCAGAGTTAGGTATACAAATGTTCATTATGCAGGTACCCTTGTTGATGAGCTGTGCCCCTCCCTCCCCTGACAGTTTCCCTCAACTGCTAATCTCACCGCCCCCCAGTTTGTTTTTTGATTTGGGGGTCTGACTCTGTTGTCCTGGCTGGAGTGCATGGCAGGATCACAGCCTCAACCTCCTGGGCTCAGGGAATCCTTTCACCTCAGCCTCCCAAGTAGCTGGGGACTACAAGTGCACACCACCATGCCCGGCTAGTTTTTGTTTTTGTTTTTTCTGTCACATAGACGAGGTCTCCCTATGTTTCCCAGGCTGGTCTCGAACTTCTGGGCTGAAGGGATCCTACCACTTCAGCCTCCCAAAGTCCTGGGGTTTCAGGCATGAGCCACTGTGCCTGACCCGCCAGTCTGGGCTTTCTTTAAGGGTGGGACTCAGCACATGCATAGCACGATTGGAACGGTGTGTAGTAGGGTGAATGGTGCCCACCGGGTTTCTCTATTCATTTGTTCGTTCTATAAAGATTTACTGAGCACCTACTCTGTGCCAGGGCATGTCTAGAGTTATGCCATCCAAAAGCACAAGTGGTGATTGGGCACTTGAAATTTGGGTTGTGTAACTGAATATTCAATTTTATTTAACTTTCTAAATGCCCTTGTGATTTTTTTTCTTTGATGCATTGGTTATTTACTGTTTCCTTTACACATAGTTGTGAATTTCCCAGGTTTCCTTCTGTTATAGATTTCTAATTTCTCTTCAGTGTGGTCAGAGAACACACTTTGTATGATTTTGATCCCTTTAAATGTATTGAGACTTGTCTAGCTCAGCATATGTTCTATGCTGGAGAATGTTCCATGTACACGTAAGAATGTGCAGTTGTTGGGTGGAGTGAATTTTACTTAATTTCAATCTAAATAATAAAACTAATATTCAATTCAGTTATTGGAAAACTTCCAAGTACATCTGGAACAGTTGGGAACATAAAACTATTTTTTCAACTGTAAACGTTATAAAGTCTGAATACAGGTCAATGTTTCTAATGAAATGTATCATCCAAATTGAGATGTAATTTAAATGTAAAATACACACCATGTATTTTATGTTGGACATAAATAAAATGGTCTAAGGCCAGGTGTGGTGGCTCATGCCTATAATACCAAGGAAGGTCAAGATGAGATTGCTTAAGCCCAGGAGTTCAAGACCTGGGCAACATAGCAAGACCTTGTCTCTATGAAAAAAAGAAAAAATTATTCAGGCGTGGTAGTGCATGCCTGTAGTTCCAGTCATCCAGCAGGCTGAGGTAGAAGGATCACCTGAGCCCAGAGGTCAAGGCTATGGTGAGCCATGATCATGCCACTGCACTCCAGTCTGGGTGACGGAATGAGACTCTGACTTAAAAAGAAGAAGTGTTTAGATGCTGAGGACACAGCAGCAAGCTATTAGACAAAAATCCCTGGAGTGGTGCCGATATCCTGGTGGGAGAAGATTGATAATAAGCAAGAAGGGTCTAACCCCACCAATTTGGCCTCACTGCAGAATTTTCACTAGAGAAGGAAAGAGGAGTAAATG